AAGTTTGAGGATTTTCATGTTATTCATTTTGCCTGTTTCAGTGCCAGATCGAAGTTTTTCTCTGTATTCGGCCTACTGATAGATGTGTGTAGATATTTTTGGTAGCTATCAACATAGATTACCTTTAGTACCCTAACGTGCTTTCTACTCTATCTGATAACATTTCTAAAAAACTGCGCTCAGAACAACTTCTTTCAACACTCGATTCCCTTCTCTCTGCCTACCTGCCTCTCTGTCTATGACTCCGCATGCTTTGGAAGTACGGTAACGAATCAATGGTTGCAATCTTGTAAAACCTAGTTTTATTGAGAAAATTACAACTTGCGATGATATAAATGACAAAAATGATAAATGCTGAACATTGGCGCTCGTGAGATCTATAAAACCCGTTGAATAATATTTGCATACTAAAACATACCCGTGAAAGTGTTAGCAAGCGATGAAATTTGGCTTATTTTGTAAAGAAAAGCACAGCGTTAGAATCAGGCGAAATTAGCAATGGGTGCAAAATCGTGTGGGAAGGAAAATGATGACAAGAGTCAGACGTGGACTTGTTTGTGGAAACCATGGCCCGCCTTGCCGAAGAGGATTCCTTTGAAAGCGCGACGGAATTCGGTGTTGAAGATGGTGTAGATGATCGGATTCATGAAGGAGTTCATATAGCCTATCCAAGTGCAGTAGAAGAAGAGATCGAACCCGACCTGAAATGGCGCTTTTGATTCTATGAAATGGTTCCTAATTGGAAATTGTTTGGTTCATAAATCATAGTATGTACAAATTTGACGCAAAACTTTTTCTGAAAATTCAAGACATACCAGATTGTTCGATATTTAGAAAATATTAAGAAAGTGTGATGCACATTGGTACTCGGAAAAAGTACAGTCTGGACAAAATTCGCAGTTGTATTTCTCTCGGCAACGAAAATTCTATAACCTGATCCTTGCACAACGTCTTAGTGGGATTTGTGAGCATTAGTTAGGAATTTCCAGGCACTCAGATTCGCCTAGACTCTGCCCCCCATCATTGTAAACCTTTCTAGGTCCTTGAAAATTTCCTAACAAGAACCAATGCGAAAATTTGTAGAGATTGCCTCAGTCGAGGATTTTGGCCCACTCAGATTTGCATGGAAGAACAACAGGTTGGATCTTTGATTCAGCAAAACGAAGATTACATTTTGGGGAAGCAGAACAAATATCTCATGAAGTGATGCATGCATGGAACATATTCATGTTGGGACGAAATTGCTGTAGGATATCATTACCTGGCAGAAATCTTTGTTCAGCAAGACGCAAACAGCATTGACAATATTGATGAAGAAGAATGGAACCCAGCAGATGAGGAATACTCCGACAACGACCCCAAGAGTCTTCGTTGCCCTCTTTTCTTTCCTTTGTGATTTGGAGACCTGAAACATTAACTATCTTTATGGTTAGCGTAAGAATCCAGATGATTTCTATCACCTTTCGTTTCAAGCTTTGCTCATGCTTTAGCGTCTTT